CTTATTGATACTCTGTACAGTAAAACAGTTCCTCACACCCAAGATTAAGTTTTATCAGTGTCTGCTTTTTCAAACTTTATGGCTACAAGTAGGGCCGCACAGTGGAATTAAACCTATGCTCCCTTTACCTACGCAAAAGTTATACATTGTTTTCCATTGTCACTGCCTACATACCTACCTTTTTGCATTGTTGTTGTCACGTCAGGTTCTCAGGCAATTAAAAATTTGCCAACAGTGGAGGAGATTTTGATAATGTTGCACAGAAAGAGGACCAAATGGTTGTTCTGTTGTTGTCATCATTTCCATTGTTCTTTTAGGATTCTACACGATATATACTTTACAATACTATACTGTTGTACTGCTCCATGTCATGAGTTGTTGTACACAAGCTCCGCAAGCTACCCAAAAAATACCAAATTATAAAAATAACAATTGCAGAGGATAAACGCAAGCTTCTGTATACACACTATACATTGGCCATAATGTAGGCATCAATAAACCCCATATCTGAATGTATTAATCTGTATGTTGTTCTTCGATGGACTGGCTGATGAACTTTGAAGTGTACCATGCCATTGCCCGATAACTGTTTGGTTTGGATCCACCTGAAAAGGATTAAGTGGTAGAACAGTGAATGTTTTTAAGCACAAATGTATTAATCCACGACTAAGTGAAATATAAAATGCAAACATTTATAACATTGTACTGATGTGAAGTCAGCCTACATAAATAAAACACCCAGAATGTTTCTATGACAAATACTTCTCTCTGGAACGCACAGCTGTAACTATCTGGACTGTGCTGTAGGAGCAGAGTTCTTGGCTGCACTTGGAGGTCAGCCACTCAATAGGCACATGGACTTGTTTTCATGCTGTGCATCACAGGAGACCTGCTGCAAACACTAGCACAAACTGTCTCCCTTCCTTCCTGTGAATACACAGAAACATAAAATGCTTTGCTTCTTAATGGAACCAAAAGGATTGGAAGCAAAAGGACATTCACTTTTTGGGGTTTTAACGGTTGCTTGGTAGCGTCATGATTGTTCCACCTGAGATATCTGGTCTCTTGGTTCTAAATGTGAGCAGCCTTAAACTCCTGCCTGGTTTCTCTGGTCATTAATGGTTCAATTCATCAATGGTAATAAACCCGATAGATTCTGTAGGCTCTGTACTTTGGCTGTAGCTGCTGTCTGATAATATTGCATACGTACAGCAAGTGTGAAATGTAGATTCTTGGAAAGTTAAGTTCATTATATATTCACATAAATTACTTAAGGGAAGCCTTTTTAGCTATTCCAGCAAATCTAGACATTCTTTAGTCGATAAATAGATTTGTCTTCTCATGCTTGTGTACGGAGACAGTAGAGGCTGAATAATAGACTTTACCTAAATTGATGGGAGCAAATATTTCATGATCTAAATTTACTGCTTACGTTTTGTGTTGTTTCTCACTTTATGTCATTTCTTATTTGCCCTAATGTACCAGTAGGAATTTATTTCTTGTCATTTCTGTCCTTGCTGAAGACAGAGGATTAATTCTGTTTAGCCTGGTGTGACCATCCCGCAGGGTTCATTTTGAGGAAATCGATATCCTATCAAACATACTGTGAAAAACAAAAAACCACCAGGACCAACCTGGTAATAATGGGGTGACTGTTACTAAACCACTGAGTCATGATGGGGGTGTTTTTATTCACAAGTTTCAGTAAATTAATCTTTAAACTTAGTTTGGAATTTTATTTTTGGTTTTCTTTACCGCAGCTACACTCTATTTAAAAAAAACAACTTTATTGGAGAAGTGAGTTTACATTTTTATTTAAATTTGTCCTAATTTACCTTCATATACTACATATATACTGGGATTCCTTGCCCCAAGAGGAAACACTGTTGTGTTGTGGTAACGTAACATAGAATTGGATTTAAACCTTGGTGTCTGTTTTGCACTGCAAAGATTATATTATCAGAAACACTTTTGTGAATGAATAGCATTTTTAACTCTCCCTCTACTGCGTGGTAGCTTAACCTGTAATAGATTATTTAATCATTGGTCAACATAATGCTTAAACCACTGGACTTTGCAATAACAGGGAACACAAACTTTATAAATGTTCAAAGCGTTTTTTCCTCCTTTATTAATTTACTCTCTTTTTTCCTGAGGTTTTTATGTCAGCAGTGAAAAGAAGGTTTTCAGCTGTTTTTGCTATAAATAGTTTGGTAAAGACAAGATGACAGGACAAGCACCTGTTACAATTAGCTCTAAATCATTACCCAACACTGTCTACCACCTGTTCTTCTCCACCTGCCCTTTTATTTTTGACCTAATTAATGCAGTGTAATGGATTTGTTTTGGATGCCTAGTTTAATTTTATTTTTTTTTAAACTTGGGATTTTGTTTTCATCACTTTTGGATTTTTCCTCACCACAGCAGGTAAAACCAAACTGGTATTAAAACAGTATTTATACCAGATTTTCTTCCTGGGGCTATTTTTTGTTTATCTACACTTAGGGCTGGTACTTCTGTGGCTGGGAAATAATTGGCACAACTGCACACAACAGAATCCTAACCTGTTCAGAAAAAAACAAAACAAATATAAAACAAAAACAACACTGCGAGGGAGTCTTTGCTGATTTCCTATGGAATGTAAAGCTCTGGATTAATGTTTTCAACAGAGTAAATACTTCGCTAATGAAGCAAAGCTGCTCAGCACTGCTGCACTTAGTTCTTACAAAACCAATCAGTATTTAAAATGAAATCATTTTCAAGGGAAGGTGCCACTTGAAACCAAAACAATGAGTGTTTGCAATTGACATTGCGTGTATCAGCTGTTTATTAGAGCAAAGATAAGTGGATATTTGGGGTATTATTGGAAAACTATTCATTCATCATTTATGCCATTTATGCTTTCTACAGCCACAATCATTTTGTTTATGGATGTGCATGGATCTGTTCTTGGACGGTGTGTAAAGATTTAATGTAAAGATAGTTGGCCAGCAAGGGAATTATCATCATTCTCCATGATTCAAAATAGACAGGGAAAAACAGTGAGCAAAGCCTTCATTTAAAAAGATTATTGTGTCAGGTTCTGACTCTACACCTGGATCACTCCCTCTGTATATCTATTGTATTTGAATACCTAGTGGCTGTTTGGCAGACGAACTGGATTTTGGAGCTGATCGTTTGCCTAAAGCCACAGAACAGGTTGAGAATGAAATGGAGATAATGTGGGATTTTTGGCCTCATTTCAGTCAAGCTCGTTGGCCTTTAGTTTTAAAGCTGGAGTCACTTACACTTGTGCTTTGTTTGTTGACTGTGTCTCACGCCCTGCTTGTCTGCGTATTTCTCCTGGTCAAACTGTACAAGTGTGGACACGATCCGAATTTCACAATATATTTCTTCAAACATAATGTCAATCATTTACTGGTATTTTCTTAATGGATATTATATTATATTATATATGTTATTTGAGTTGGATGTGGTTTCTTAATGCTGACCTTTTGTTTGAATCAGCTCCTCCTGCAGCTGTATTTCAAACATTCTTTAAAACAACAGCATTCCTCTGAGAAACTCCTGTTTTTTCCCACTGCTGGTTAGATCATTAGAGTTATTTCATCGTTTCTGTGAAATGTCAGTGAGTGATGCTGTGATGGTTAAGGGATTATTTATGGGGATTAATGACGAGATGGTCATAGTCAAGCATGAGCACTTTGTGTTCTCCTCCACATTGACATCCACATATACGTAAGTTAATGGACCTCTAAAGATGCATTAGTTGAACGGCTCTCTGTTTTTATTACATTACATTTCCTTAACTTTCTCTCGAGCTGTAACCACACCCACTGTGTCGGTCGCACTACAGCCTCCCTACTACCTAATTCAGTGTAATGGATATGGATATATGGAGGTTTATGATGTCAGTGCTTTATTGTTTTCTTCTGCATCTCAGTGCCGAGGCAGCTCAGTACTGTATATACTGTGGTAACAAAATGAGCTAAAAGTCAATAAACCAAATTTCAGAGATGCTACTGAGTGATAAAAGGGCTGTCATGCTGTCGGCTATGCCAACGGCAAGCCTCTTTTGTCTTTCTGTGTTGTGGTGTCACTTATAAGAAATGAACACCCAGTGTAGGCACAAGAAATATTGTCCAAACATAGAAGCCTGTTTTACCAGTACCAATCCGACCTGCACAAACACACTCGTTTTTATGTTGCGTGAGATTTCTGTGTAGTAATGTAGAAGACAACTGGGACCGTCTAACTCAAAACTCCAAACTCAAATCTGAACCTTCTTACCACTAAATTAAATTGTGGGGACCTGCATGGCACCCCTGAAAGGACAATGTCCTCTACAAGAGGGACTATACCTTAGCTGTAGGGGGTGGTTGTGCTTTGTTGTTGTGTGACTCGACCTTATTACATAGTCTTTTTATAACATTGCAGTGTAGGATAATTGCTGCTTTTAATTGTATGTTTCCCGGGCAAAATACTTAAAAGTACACACTCATTTCTCTACTTTAGTCTAAATCTGTCAGAGAAGGTACCTCTTTAGCATCATGTTGAACCAGTGTTGTGAACAGTAGTGGGTCTGTGCTTGTCTTGGTAGTACCAGTATCGGTACACATTCCTTTGTACTTTAACTTTTAGTATATTTTCATTACAACAAGCTGCGCTCCTGCCAGCCAGTATTATGTTTTCCTACTGCAGTTGTGGGTCTCACTACCCTCATGTGTAGTTTATTTAAGTAGGTCAACAAAGTCAGCAGCATAGAGACATTTTAACTAGAGGGACAGGAAACTTAATGGAAGTTCTGTTACACCTGAAGATGCACCAAGACGCTGAATCCACAAATATCTCGGCACTGTGGTTAGATACATTTACACATCATCAAGTACATTTTTATTATTTATCAATGTGACAACAGTGCTAGTTTAAAGTACAGAAATATTGAACACAAAATAGTACCATTTTTTTCAACTGTTTAAATCTTTAGATATTGGCAGCAGGTGTTAACCCCAGAGATGAGCTCAACAAAACATATAGTTTAAATGTGACTCACAGTTCCTTCTACACAAAGGCCTCAGACAAAAAGTTCTATATTGGGTTGAAATCCTCATACTGGTTCTGAGATCCAGTGGTTGACCACATCATCCCATTCACGCACAGGAAGCCTTGGTCTTCATACAGCTACATGTACCGCATATAAAAGTGCGTGGTCGTGTTGTGGTGACAAATCCAATGTGCAGCCTTCCGTTGTAGCTTTGGATGTCAGCGAGTCACTAATCTCTGAGTGGAGGGAGATTCTTACAAACTAATCTGTAGCTTCTGTCTGCCCACTTGTCTTCATGAAATCTTTAATCCTCCCGTGAATGGACACGGGGCGTAAACACAAGGCTACCCTTGGTCATGAGAGCTGGAGACGTGTTCTTGACCTGTCACTGCTGTGCTCAGCTCATTCTGATCCTTCCACCAACCAATTCACTTACTCTAGAGGCTCTGCTTGTTTGTTGCCGGGGGATACGCTTGTTGGTTAGCACAATGTCTGAGCACATGCAGCTTGCTGTGGCTTTGTGCAGGATTGGGCTTTACACGGTAAGAAAACATATCCGTGTTGGGTTTTTTTTTTCTGTGTCAGATAGCAGGTGAATTGTGGTGCGCTGTGCGTCTGTGTGTACCATAGATTGAACATACGTAGTGGGACCAAAGGCTTTATCTTCCTTTCCATGTTTTTGAACAGATACTCAAAAAGCAACTATCCTGTTGCTTAGTCACCGAGTGGGCTGTGCGTCAGTTGAGCGCGTGTCAGTATAACACCATAGTTGAATAGGTTATCAGAGCTGTGGCATAAATGAAAATGAAAATTTCAGAGAACAGGCCATTCAACAAAGGCTGCCACTCTAAAAATAGTGACAAGGAAGGGGCAGTGGAGCCTGTGTCCTTCGCTTTATTCAACAGGTGTGGTTCATGGTTGTCATTTCCCTCTGTTTTCTTTTAGCCCCCGGGACCATCATTAGTGGTTTACTAAAAACAGAGATATTTACTTGTGTCATGCTGCATATTGTAATAATATAAGTGGATAGTTAATGTTATTTTAAGGATTTTACGTTATAATGTGTAGTATTTTCATGCAGCATTAAATGTAGCCAATATTTCTCAGTCTGGCTATAAGCAGTTGCATGTTAACCTTGTCGGATGACCCATGTTGCATATTACCAAGTTTGCTGTTATTGCTTGACGAGATGGCTAAATATTCCTTAAGGGATTAGTGTTGAAGTTGATTCTTTCTCTCTTTCCTTCCCTTTGCTCTTTTGATGGCTCATAGGTGTAGATTTATCCAGTACTCACAGAGGGTGTGAACACCTGAAGAACAATGGAGACCATCTCAGTCCAGTATTTGTATCAAATATTTGCTAAGCACTTATCAAGTCCTTCAAACAATGACTTGTGTAAATCCTTTTCCTTTGCTCGACTACCATTGATTACTCCCTGTCCAATCAGAATGGTGAATCCTTAGGGATCCTGAATGTCAATATATTGAACACTGAGAGACAAATCAACCTAAAAACCAGCTGTACTGATAAAAGCAAATGTAGCAGTTGATGAGATGAGTCCTTTGTAATTTTGTAGGTCAATCAATAAGTTAAAAACATACACTGATATGTGCTTTGTACAGCTTCTGTGAAAGGACAAACCTTTAAATGACTAAAGAATAACAAATGTATCTGCTTTCTGTATTTTGACTCTGGACACAGAGTCAAAATACAAAAATTTCAATGAGTTGCTTTCCTTTTGACAAAACATCCAGAATGTAGAAGGGATCTTGTGTCGGCTCCAGTAAGCTGTTTTCAGTTAATTTGCTAATGTCTTTGCTACTATTTATTAGTCCGAACATGGTCAGTAACTACCGCAGTTATGCGCTGATAACAAATTATCTCTCAGATTAGCTGTCAATTTATTGCCAAGCAATAATATCACGCAACCTACGCTGTTTATGAATGACCATCATTGTTTCGATTCCTTTATATGTCTAGTACATGTGAGGAAATTGACAATAAAGCTAACTTTGACTTTGTTCTGTAGAATCACAAGAGAAATAATTGATGAGAACCCCCTACTTTTTTATCTTTACAGTGTATAGGACTGCACACTATCCATTAGGATATGAGAGGCAACAATTTCAAAAAGAGAAATATTGTATTGACATGTGGACATTGTGACTGAAGTCCCTGTTGAGTCGCCACCATAACCTACAGCAGTGTGCAAACCTCAGCATGTGGTGCTCGGTGGAGGAATGCTCTGAAACATTTCAACATTTCAACATCTACGTGACAAAAATGAAAATGCATATGAAGGAATAATAATTAAAAAAAACTTTACAAAGCCTTATTTAAATACTCAGTCATTTGACTCCAGTGTAGCCTGGTCTTTCCTTGGATTTTCTAATCTTAACATAAAAAAAAAAAAAACACACCATTCTTGTCAGGACTGTCAGTTTTGACACTTTGTTTTCTCCCACGTTCCTGCTGGTGGAGATCTGGGAAGTCACCCACTCACTCTGCACAGCAAAAATAGCAGATGAGCTGTCATTGTATTATTAAGTATTAGGTCCCTTATCAGTCCATACCCTAGCATTGTTGCTAAGACATTTGAAACTGGATTGGCCACTTTATAAATCACCCTTATGGGTGTTAATTATTAATGTTAATAGGTTATATTCTGGTATTTTATTTATTTTTTTACCCACAATTCTTGATATCATCAAAATGTGATTTTTCTGTCTTGATCTTGTGTTATGTAAATAACAAAAATAATATATATATATATATAAAAATAATGCAAGTTACAGTTGATTCTGAGCTGTAACTTTAAGATGTGCATACAATTATATATAATTCTTTAAGAAAAAGTGGCCAGTGCATCTCTCATCTTGTCTTTGTTGAAGCTGTCAATATGGTATTTATTAGGTTATTTATAAATGATACACAGAATCTTTATTTGGTAAGTGATTGGGACTCACCTACGTGGGAAATATTTTATGTCACTGTGTGTTCAATTTAATGAAGTTGTGGCAATGTTTGTGTCCTTAAAAATATATAAATATACTTTTATTATATGACTCATGGTTGAGTATAAATCCAGGTGGAAAGTTTTTTTTTAACTTAAACTTAAAGTTCAGGCCACAGTTTTTTCAGACCAGGTCAAGACTGACATTATATGCATTCCTAAAACTGGCCACAGCTTAGATCAGATAAAATTATCCTCCAAGACAAGGTTGCATCTAAATTTTGTTTAAGTAGCAGGTGCCACACGAACCAAGTGTAATGAGCTGTGGACCATCGACACTGGGCACCTAGCGACTGCTCTTTAGACCCTGTCCTTCTAAGATACCCGCCTGTTAAGAATCTAAGTGATCACATTAGGCACTTTATGGTCACCTCATCATGTTATTAATAGGGTAGAAAAAGCCTTCATCACTGGTTTGCTTGCTCTGACCCTGAGGTTATGGCTACATCGTTAAGAACTGTGGTCTTCAGGCTGGTTTATGCCTAATTTGAAAGAGAGTGCATGGTTAAAATGACCTCTGTTGAAAAGCTAATGAGAGCCCAGCTTTAAAAAGTGTTTAATTGTCTTATAATGAAGTCCATGCTGCTGAGTCTCTTAAGTTGATATTTCTTATTACACAGAGCAGTGTATAATATGTGTAACTTGAATAAAAAACAATCAATTGCAGAAACATGTATTAATACATTATGGAGTAGTTAAAGCTATACAGTCTTACAGTTACAACCGACTTCAAGGGGAACTGTATTGGTGATGTGGCCCCCTGGTGGAAATGAGTTTGACACCCCTACAATATATATACTATACTGTACTCTATATAATACAGTATTATGATGAAGTTACCATGACAATGAAAACAACAATAATAATGTTATAAAAGCAAATATATATACATATATCTATATATGTGTGTCTATATATGTATATATTTAACTGGGTCTGATGGAGAAATTCTTTACAATGCAGGATTTCCTGCTCATTGAAAAGATATTTTTGGTTAAGACACTTTAGTCCTTGGCTGTGATCAGTGCCAGTAGAATGCGTCAGAATTTATAAACCTTAAATGTAGTTATTCAAAGGGGACATAAATATAAAAAAACGTATCTGCTGCCAATTTTATGTTAGTTGTCTTTTATTTAGTAATCCCTTAGTACGCAGATACATTTTTTTTTTACAGCTTCTAGGTCACTTATTGTCTGTGTTGACTGAAACATATATATATATACGTATATA